AGTTTTTCCTTATTGAGAGGAGGGCAATATCCAGCTGCATAAACCCTGAGACTAAGAGCACCAAAGATCAGTTTCTAGCTTCTAATCTGTTACAGGCTTCCTGCATGATTTTGAACAAGTCACTTCACCTCTGAGCTGGTTTGTTTCCCCTGTCAAATTGAAACACTTGTGTGCCCTCAGACAGGTATTGTCTCTACATTCTTCTGTAATCCATGAATTCTATTTTCAGGCAATTTCCTTGGCTACTGGCAAAAATCCTAATGTGTACCTTGTTTGTTTGATGACCTGGTCAGCCTGTTTTGAATTAGTTCCTTTGGCTTGCATTATCTGCCTTGCTCTTCCCTTCCTCTTTCCTATTCCCTTCAAAAGCAATTTGATCATTTGCATTAGAACTAAAACATCAAACACTGTAGCAAAATAACTTCTTAGCTTGGGTTCAAGGCTTTACAGTTGTGCCTTTATTTACTTCAGAGTCTCTGACCTTGAAATAGTTTCTGAACCAGCTTTCTTCGGAATGGGGTGACCGAGTTTGAAAAAAAATTTCCAGCGATGAAGACTTGTCCCAGAGACAATTTAAAGACATAGGTTGACCAGATCCTGAATAAAGCAAACAATGCATAATTCATGGTGCCCTCCAGCAAACTTGGCAAAACTCCCAAATCTGGTTCAGTTCATTTGGTCCTGGTTTCTTCAAACTTGCAGCAATTAGTGAGAGACTGATGATCAAAGATTCTTTTACACTGTCTCCTGGCAGCAAGCGGGGTGAATAAATAATTCAGGAAAAAGGGAATAAACATGTTTGTCCTGACTTGAGCTAGGGTTAAAAGCTCATTTCTCTATTCTTGCACTGATGTGGCTGTCTCCTTGGCCCTCGGGTAGCAGTTGGAGAAATACTACTGACTTAAAATCCATATTCTGTTTCTGGGGCACGCTATACCTGAGGCGCAGTGGCAAAGCAAGGCTAAAGGGCGTCATGCTGCTGTTTCTTCCAGGGCACTGCTGGCACTGTGGGACTGGACACAATCTTACCCTCAATAGGAACTTCTTCCTCAGTACTGTGCTGTGTATTTTTTTTTCCCCTCTTTCATGACAATCTAAGAAAGCTCGGTGGTAGAGAAGTAATGAGTGTGAGTGTGTGTTGGTTTGTTTTAAGGTTTTACTTAAGAGCAGGCTTGGGCACTTTGTCACTGTTGTGCTTAGCTGGCTGTGATTATTGCAAAGGCTCTAGAAGCGTACAGTACTGCTAAGAGAGCAACTCAATAGAAAGGGCTGTCTTCAGCAGCAGCAAGTTAGTGCTATTTAAACTGTTTCAAGTGTTGAAATGATTTGATCAAATGTTATATTGAAAATATTTTCAATTTCTTCTTTTCAGAATGTCACTAGTGTTCTTTTTAACGCTACAGTCCTATAGCAAACGGTGTTTATTCATCACGGAGTGTTTGTCTAACTGCTTAGAATACTTCTCAGCTGAGAGTAGAATGAATATGCTGCTTAGGAAAAGGGTTTCTTGTGACTTACTGCACTACAGTTTAAGTCATGCCCCTATGCTGCTACCAACGTAAAATCCAGGTGAACGGGTACATGTTTCTACACTGTCCGTAGTGGACCGCAGCATACATGTACCATACAGCAGCATTCTTCTTAAGCTGCTACCTATTTGAGGAAAATGGAGTTTTCTTACGTATTGGTATACAACACCTCATCATGAAGGACTAAAGGCAGAAAAAGGATTCTGGCATCCTAAGTCATTACTGATGTTAAACATTTTCTACCCAATTGCTTAAGGCTGAGCCAACCCTCTATGTTTCTCAGACAGTGTCATAACAAAACTAAAATGACCACACCCTGTATCTTTCTTTCTTAACAGAAACAAATAATTGCCTCTTCAGCAAAAGTCTTTTATTAAAAATTACAGCACACGGCTCCTTTGGCCAATAAAGGCATACATGAAAGGAGATAAGTACCTATACAACACACTTATAGTATACATCAAATGTTTTCCTCACAAATAACTTCAGGCTCTTTTCTATATAAATATTGAGCAAATAAACTGTGTGCCACACCCCACCCCAATCTCTTGAAGTTATGTAGTTGCAAAAAATATGTAATTTGATTCAATTGTTTAAAACATACTTGGCACAGTACCCCACGCTAATTCCGTTTTAAAAGGCACGCTTATTACATAGTATCCTTCAAGCTTCAAATAGGCTTGTAACAAACTGATCCGTTTCCATGTATTATTAGACATTAGCTAAACAGTCTCTATTAGAAGGTACTAACGGACGTATTATGCCAGCATGCAGTGATTCCTGTTCTAAGGTAAAGCACAGCAACATGTAACAACAGAGTGAATCTGACAGGCTATGTGTCCTAAATGAAATATATAGTGATATGTGTGTTGACAGTTTGTCAAGCATATAGAAATACCAAGACAATACTTCAACTCTGATGCTGGAGCAGAACAGAAACTAATAGAAATGCATATCTTAATCACTTTCTCATGCTGCTGGGCTTTTAATTCAATTTGCAAAACTAACACTGAATACAGACTTCTCTCCCCACCCTCCAAACATTAACCCTAATGAAACACAAAATCAAATACTCAAAATGAGGTATTACAACTACAGAAAATGTAACATTTGTCGTAAATAAGACAGGAAAAAGCTGTATTTGAATAGACTTCATATGAACAAGACTACGTATTTTGAAAAAGTAGTATTCAATTATGGGGATTATATTTTAAAGTTTTTTTTTTCTTTCTTTTTTTAAAGACCTGCAGGGAGTATGAAGGTCTTGGAAGTTTTTTTTTTTTATGGTGGAACTGTTAACCTATTTTTGTATTGAAACTAATGATTTAGCTACCTCTTTTTGCACACTAAAAGAGAATGAGTCCTACTGTATACTTCTTAAAAACTCACAGGAAAAAAAAAAATCAACTTCCTACTTCAGTTTATGCCATTGCCAGCTTTAAAAATTTCAGTACCAAATTCTAAATGTGATCACACAGGAGACACCACAGGAACAATTAATTTCTCTACTGTATTTATAGCTCTGGTAGAGTGTTAAATGACCAATTTAAAACCTACAAATATTCAGTGAATAATAACAAACTCAATATTGTTACAACTTGACTCCATGGTAGTCCTGTACTGATACAGATACAAGCTCATGCACTTTACACAGTTGCCTGGATTCTAGTCTGTAATCAGTGATATTTGGAAAAGCTGACGTGATAGCTTCCTGTACTAACAATTTTAAAAATGCAAAGTACTTGTGAGGAGAAAACTTGGAGATCAGCAGAAATGCTATTTAAAAAATAAATAAAAAGCCCATCCTGTCACAAACCTACTGTGACTAAGAATGGTTACAAGAAAGATACTAAACTGGTTTCTGGCTAATTTTGCTTTTGCTAAGGCCCACAGCAAAGCTTTCTGCTCTAATAATCCTGCCATGAAGGCACCCTTCCCCCCCCCCCCCCCCACGACACTTTTAAAAAACACCTTATTTCTCAGAAGCACTTAAACATTCTCCCAAATGCTGGATGGACCCACTGAAGCCAAACTCCTGCCATTGACTTCAGAGAGACAAAGACTGTATCAAGATCTTTCAAGCATCAGATAAACTCCAAATACATAAATGATAAAATCATTATAGACTAGACTTCTGAAATGATGTCATCTCCAAAGGAAACATGGAACCTGGTCCTGAGAAGGTATGAAAAATAACCTTACATTAATAGCTTAAGTTTTAAAGTCCTAGTGATTCATCTTAAGCAATACACGTTGCTTGCTTTCTTCAGCATAACAT